CACGATTCAATTTTATAGAAGGGAACTTGCTATACCCTTCAAAAACACTGCCTATGCCACACATAAGGTGAAAAATACACGTTCCAAACAAATGAGCTTTCAACAGGACCATGGTTCTAGCACAAAACCTACCTGTTGGGAAACTGAAACCATCTGTTGAATGTTGGCAACAGTAGCCTGTTGCTGGACCACTTGCGGAAGTTTCGCAACCTGTAGTGACATGAAATAAAGAAAGATCTGGTCAAAATAAAAAATTGCCAATAGCAGCAACACACCATACCTATCGAAACTGCTACCAAGCGAAAACCTTCCCAAACTCCTGTTCACGGCAAGTTGCAGCTTGGCATTCTCAGCAATACTGAACTTTTGTAAAAAGAAAAGTTTTAGATCAGTGTATTGAAGAACTTAGCTAGGAGGGGAAGAGGAAAAGCCAAACTTTCAATTTTAACCACAACATATTTGTTTCCTCCTAACTATGTATGAAATTGAAGGAAGCACAGAAGTTCTAACAGGCTACTTTATCTGAGATACACTTTTGAAAGAGTTAAGGCTTCCAATTCCTAACCCCCTTCCTTTTCCTTGGTTAGACTGATCCAGTTAGGCAGAAAAGAAGGTAACTGCAGCTACTCTTGGCTGCCAGAGGTTAGGCTGGGAGGCAGCACCAGAAAACAGGAAGAACTCTGACTGAATTTGCCTTACTAAATACGGTACAGAATCCCTTACTTAACCAAAAAGGAGTGACAGTGTATTTCTTTCAAAGAGAAAGGCAAACTTACAGATTAGATAGTTCCTCTGACCTGCTACGAGGCCACATATTCAGCACCAACAAATTTTATTATAAAGTCAATTTAAACAATTGTGGGACTAGAATTAATATGAGCGGGTGCTAAAATGCTACATCACCTGTCATCTTCACAATTCTCCAGTCACTGTACTGTGTTACCTGTACCTGAATCTGGGCCTGCACTTGCTGGGTTCCACCTGGTTTCTGGGTTTGGGAAATTGGAGTTGTTAAGAACTGTGTTTTAATGGCAGGCTGTGTAGTGTAAGTTACTTTTTGTTGTTGTGACGTCTGCTGTTGGGTTTGGACTGTAACCTGTTGAGCATTTATCTGCAGAAGAGACAAGAAGCATCAGTGAATACAAAATACGAGTGTATTTTAAAGACTAGGTATGTAGCTACCAAGATTAATTATTTTAGTGAAACAAAATCCTCCCAGGATTACTAATAGCAAAATGAGCACTAGCAGAAAGCTTTCATGTGCTTATACAAGTATTCTGAATCACCTGAAGTATTTACTGAAAGCGTTCTGCCTTACACACACACACTTTATACAATAATGCACTTCCAAAAAAACCACATTGGCAGCTGACTGACAGCAAAGCCCATGAAAAGAGGACAGTTTAGGAAAAAGTATATTTTGCACAGTTTATATTGTAAACACTGAAAATCTTTGGAATTATTCCACATTTGGTTATATTAGAAGTGACTAAAGAAAACTTAGTGTTTGTTACTTAAAATAAAAACAACAAAATCCAGTTTGGGGCACGAGAAATCACAGCAAACAACAGTTTTATTGAAAAAATTATTAAGCACCTGACCAAGAACACAAGAAACAGCTCTCTAGAGATACACTTAAGATCCACCCCTGGAAATACTGACTGACTCTCTGGGACTGTCCTCGTAACGCCGAGCCGAAGCATCACATAGCTCAGTGGGAGAGCAAACAACGAGTACCTTTTGCTGCACAGTAGCCTGACTCTGTGCAACCTGCGGCTGGATAGCTTTCTGTTGCTGTGCTGCTTGATGGTGCTTGAGTTTTAGAAGCTGCTGGACATGCAGTGGCTGCGCAACTACCGTCTGGCCTCCTGAAAATTACAAAAATAATTAGAACTGTAAGAGTCTTCATTTTATCGCTTTGTCCCAGTAATCACAGCTTGCAAACACAGACTGTGCTTTTTATAGACCTATGCATCTGCATAGCTTTGAGCACTAATAACCCACTGATTTTAATGGGAATAAGACACATGATTTTGACAGTGGAGAAAAAAACATCCTGTTATCTAAGGGCACGAGTAAGCTAACTTTGTGTTCTAGCAATAGTCTTCCTACAGGAAAAATTCCATCCACAGTACAGGGGACACTTATGAAATACAAGTTTTCCTATTTCATTTTGCAACTTAAAAACAAATGATGAAATTACTGTGTCTTTATTTTTAAAACGATATCTCTACTCTCATACATAGATTTAAAAAAAAAACCCAAAAAAACAACCACATCTGGCTACAGAATCGGGCTAACCTCTAGATTAAAATGAATAAGCTCAAGTCTCTTGCCTCATTTCAGACACAAACTGGAATGCAACCTCTACCACTTTAGTTTTTAAGAAGTGTGAGTGTCCCACAGAAGACATTACCTGAAACACCCTACCTTTAAAAAAGTGGGATTTAAAATTTTATTATATTTTAGCAAGTGTGTTGACATACCTGCTGCTTTCTGTGGCTGCCCAATGGCAACACTAATGCCTGCAACAGTAACGGGGAGTGTGGTGACTCCTGCAGATGACACAACAGCAGCTGGAACAGACACCACCGGAGGCTTTGCCAAAGCAACCTGTGCTGCTTGTGGAGTTTGGGCCTGGATCTGTCCTTGTGCTTGGAGCTGGGAAGCAGGAACACGAGTCTAAGCAGTAAGGAATGAAGATTATTGTATTGGCACAAAAAATAATTGCTGCATATAACAGGTCATTATAACGTGATAGTTGTAAATACTTGTAAATATAATTGCTCCTTTACAGTAACACACTTCAGAGCTGGTATCAGTGGGTAAGTGAAATTTAAAGTCCTTTATGTTACAGCTGTATCTGTTGTTCTGCCTAGGTAATGCACAGGGCATTTGTGCACTTGACTGACCAGTATCTAGTTCATTTAAACCAGTAAAGAGAATAAGGTGTTTAAGACTGTTTTTGCAAAGTCAAAGACAACTTACAAGACGAGCAACTTGCAGGTTTGTCACAGTAGTGCCTGTGAGAACCGCGCCAGGACGAGGTGCTGTAACAGCAGTGAGTTGTTGAGTTTGCTGTTGCTGTTGCACTTGTACTTGTGCTGTTTGCTGTTGTGCCCCTTGCTGTGTCTGCTGCGCTGCCTGCTGCTGGGGAAGCTGCAGCTTCTGCTTCTGCAACTTGATCAACTGCTCCTGCAAAAAAAATCAAATACTTCCATCATTTCCAATGTTTTACGTAACTACAGGGAAAAACTGAGATGAGCCTGGAGCTTTACAAAAGAAACATTTTATGCCAGACTTTAGTTAAGATCAAAGAGCTAAGAATGCAATTCCTTTAGGCAATGGGTTGCCAGTGAGTAAGTGCTTTACATCCTGACCTACTGCAATAGTGGTACTATTTGAAATGGCTCAGACTCGCTGCCTTCATGAAATTTTAGTAGGATCAGATTTCAGAAAGAGCTGCATTTTACTCCAGCCAACAAAACAGGATACAACACATGCTGCTAATGATGCTTACAGTAACAACGAGAGTAACGTGCCACGTTA